AAATATAGGCAGAATGCTCTTCAGATGCAATGATGGTGACTCTTTGTCTCCATGACTTTGGACATGTTATCAGTAGGGACCAGTCCCTGGAGAAGGCTATCAGGCTCGGTCCAGTCACAAACAAATAAACAAACAACAACAAAAACCCCCACTGCCATCAGTTGGATTCCAACTCAGAGTAACCCTATATGGGGTTTCGGAGATGAAAAATCTTTATGGGAGCAGATAGCTCATCTTTCTCCCACGGGGTGGCTGGTGGGTTTGAACCACTGGCCTTGCGCTAGCAGCCCAGAGGACCACCAGCAAAAAATAAGGTTTCCCATGAGACGGATTGCCCCTGTGGCTGCAGCAATCGGCTCAAGCCTAGCAATGCAGCCTTCATGGGTGACAGTCTTTAGTGTGTAAGCCAGTCTGTCATTGGGCTCAAGGATGGAAGAGCATCACTGAACAATAGTCTCAGGGAGTCTTCTGTTCAAACAATCCAGGAAGTCTGGATTGGAGGTTTTTTGTTTTTTAAAGACTTTGATGTTCTGTGGGAACTGTTAGGTGCTAGCACAACGTGGAATTCCATGAATATCTATGGAATGAAATTTGACCGCCTTCCCACCCCTTGGGATTGTCGTCTTGCTGTGAGGTGCGGCCCAGTTGGTTCCCACCCAATGACACCCATACAACACAGTGAGACCCCGCCGTCCTCCATTGTGGTCATGGCGGGGCCCCTTCCTGCAGTCATGGCGTCCATCTGTCTGGTTGAGAGTCTTTCTTTTTCACGGACCTTCTACTTTCCCGAGCGCCATGTCCTTCTCCAGGAACTGGTCTCCCCGGTCACTTGTCCAAGTACGAGAGATCAAGGTTTGCCATCCTCACTGCTAAAGAGCATTCTGGTTAGGCTTCATCCAGGACAGATGGCTTCTTCTTCCCTGTCTTCTCCACACCACCTGATGCTTCATTGCAGCCCACCGAGACTTCTTCCTGGAGAGGAGGAGTGGGGAAGGAAATAGAGCACATTTTAACGCACCCTTTTTTCCCTTCCCAGGTACTATCTTGGTCGTCGGATGTTCATTGTCATTTCTGATCCAGACATGATCGAGCAGGTGTTGGTGAAGAACTTCAGCAACTTCAGCAACCGAATGGTACGTGGGCGCCGTCTGAATGTGGATGAGGGTGTGTGAGCGTCATCATTCAGAAGGTGACCGGGCCTCTTACCTAGCTCAGGCTTGCTCAACCCAAACCAGAGCCCCTCTGGGAACTCAGATTTTTAGTGCACTTACACAGAGAATGGCATTTGCAGGTAAAGAATCCTTTAGGGAAGTCAAAGCAAATGAGAAACTCAAAACTCACTCCACGGAGTCCATACTGACTCCGGGTGACCCTTTAGGACAGGGTAGAACTGCCCCTGTGAGTTCCCGAGACTCTGTTGACGGAGTAGAAAGCCCCATCTTTCTCCCACGGAGCTGGATGTGGTTTCGAACTGCTGACCTCATGGATCACAGCCCAACGTGTAGGCACCACCCCACCAGGGCTCCTTGAGGCCAAAAAGAAGTTGAGCTCATTAAAATGCCACTGCCGGCAGGATTTCTGAAACTGGTTTCAAAGCTAGGGGGATGGAGAGGGCGCAGGGCAAGTGACCCGGCGAGACAGAGCAAGGATCATGAAGGCCGGAGGGAAAGTATAAAAGTCAAACCGAGATTCCCCTGTGTGTCCGTCTTCTCCTGAGAGTATTGCATGGGGAGGGGGGGCGGGGGACAGGGAGTTCTGTCCCCGTGGAGGAGAAGCCTTTTAAGGGTCCCCTGTGCATTAACTCACGTCTCCAACCCACTAAGGGGAGAAGCACAGCCCCTCTCTTCTGGACAGCGTGTCCTCCAGTCTGTATCTGTGATGGGGAATCCCCAGGAAGGGGTGAGGCGACAAGACGTGGCAGAAGATGACGTGGTTCACATTTCCCGAGGCACAGAGAGCAACCCTAGCCAGAGCAGACCCATCGCCTCATGCTGATTTTAGGGAAACGTCTAACGTGAATTAATAACTGCAGAACTAGAGAAAAACCGACCTGTGATCATCTCTACGTGCCAACAATTGTCTTCATAATCAAATGGGACTTTACGATAAGGGCAATTGGTCACAGAGTCGTCCTTCTCTTGTTGATGGTTCGGCAACCTTTCAGACCCCTGCCGTGCGCCGGGCACGGGGTGGGAGCTGATTTGAAAGATCAAAGACACAGCTTGCCCTCAAAGAGGTCACGCACGGTCTAGTGAGGGGGGCAGAGAAGTTCAGAGACCCGCACCATTATACACGGGCAGCGTGGCGCCTGCGGGCAACGTGCAGAGCTGGGACCAAACCAAGGGACACCGGCTGTCACCCTTGCCGTGTCGAACGACTCCCCACTGGGACCCCAGGCTGCGGTCTTTCAGAAGCCAAGGACTTTTCTTCTTTCAGGGAGTAGTCCAATACTTCACCACCGGTGTCCCCCGAGACGCTGGCGTGTGGACCCCCAAGCCCACGCCATCGACTTGTCTCTGGCTCAGAACAACGACACAGGGCAGAGAAGATCTGCTGCTGGGGTTTCCAGGACTGGGCGGCTCAAGGGAGAGACCACCTCATCTTCCTCCAGGATGAGGAGCGAGCCCAAACCCACGTACTGCCATTGAGGTCACTCTGACCCCGTCGGCCCTGAAAGGCAGGGGAGAAGCGTGCCTTTGGGTTTCCAGGAGGGCCACGCTTTATCAGAGTACACGGCCTTGTCTTTCTCCCACGGAGCTGCTGGGTTTGAACTGCTGACCTCGTGGTGAGCAGCCCAACACGTAACCACTCTGCCAGCAGGGCTCCTAGGCTGCAGCCAGGGGAGGCTTGCTGGATAGGAGATGCCTGGGTTTAGGTTGAAGAAGTTAAGCAGTGGTTCTTTGCAGTGAGTGGCCCAGGGTTAAGTTTCCTCATGAAAACCCACGGGCACTTTATGAGCGTCTCCGTCTGACAGGGGAGGAAAGGAAGGCTCTGAGAGGTTAGGAGAATTGGCAGGAGTGTCTGATTGAGTCGTTAAAGGTCCTCGCTAAGCACTCAGCCTCTAATGGCCAATGCTCAAAGCCACCCCACAGCTCTGGGGGAGAGAGATCAAGGGACCTGCATACGCAAAGATCCAGCCTCTAAAACGCCCACCGCCATCGAGCCAGTTCCAACTCACAGAGAGCCGGTGGGTCAGAGCAGAACTGCCCCTGTGGGTTCCAGGACTGGACCTCTTGACGGGCATGGACAGCCTCTTCTGTCTCCTCCAGAGCGGCTGGTGGTTTCCCACTGCTGAGCCCGTGCTGATTAGCCCCCAGGCTCCTTTCCCAAAGGGGCAGTTCTACCCGGGCACATGGTGTGTTAAGAGTGTTAAGAGAAATAGATTCAGTGGCACGCATCTATGTGTAAGGAAGAGCTTTATTTCCGAGAGCAATTGTGGATTGAGAAAGCATCCCAGCCCAGTCCAGATCAAGTCCGAAAGTCGGATATTAGGCCATATGTTTGATACCAGTCTATACATTCCTCTTCAGACTCACAAAACACATGCAGTGACGCCGAATGCAGGAAGATCTCAGGTCAGTGGGTGCAAAGTCTTGCGGCTCCAGTGGTGGTAGAGGCACTCGGGGCTGGCAGGGGTCTCCAGCGCTGAACTTTTTTCTCAGTATTCGATTGCTCTTGTCTATCAACCTCTTTCTTATACACATATGAGTGTCCGTGAATTTGTTCTGCTAGTCCACCCAGACTCACACAATGGCCTTGGGTCTTCTGCTGGATATTTTTTTGACCAGAAAAATGAAGGCATCACCCAAAATTGACGATTGGTCTTTTAAGGTCAGAAACGCTATCTGGCACGCTTTTTTATCCCTGTGGCCCAAGCACACTGAGCATGAGTAGGCAGTCAGCTACATCTTCTTGTTCCCATCGAATTACATTCCCATCAGCTTGACACTCCCTGCGGAAGAGCTAGGTGCTACCTGACCCTGGAGACCCAAGGTACAGCAGACTTCACAAAGCTTGTGGGGGGGGGGATCCCACGATCCTTCGTGCCCATTGTTCCACCGGCGTTTGGAAGCTCCCCTATCTACTCCAATCAATGCTGATTCACAGCGCCCTCTAGCACTGAGTAGAACTGCCCCGCGGGCTTTCCAAAGCTGTCATCTTTCCAGAGGAGCCCTGCTGGTGGGATGGGCGACGTGTTGGCCTGCCAACCACCAAGTCAGCTGTCCGAAACCCCAGCCCTTCCTCGGGAGAAGATGAGGGTTTGTACTCTTGTAAAGACTGACAGTCCGGGAACCCCACAGCAGTGGTTCCCACTCTGTCCTATGGGGTCGCTATGGGCCGGCCTTGCCTGGAGGGCAGTGGGTCCAACCTGACACATCTTTCTTGAACTGCTGCCATTGTCGTGGGCAGCCAGGCCCTTCCCACGGCGTCACCAGGGATCCTCGTCGTAGAGGAGAGCATCGGAGCCCCGTGTTTATCCTTCTCCATCTGGGACTGTCTCCATTTCTCGTTAGCTCTGTTTATGGTCTTTTAGCCAACTCCATACCCATGATTAAACGGCCCTTCATGAGCCAGTCTTGGAAAAACAGCCTTTCAGAGTGGGATTTCCTCGCAGGTTTTTGAAAGTCAAATTAAATTGGGTTCTGTGGGTCCCTCTTATCCATATGCTTATTCCTCTGCTCCAAGAACTCACGGAGCTTAGCGAGGCGTGATGCCTCCCTCCTGACGCCGGGCTGCCTTCCTCTAATAAGCGATGTTTACTTAAGTGTTCAGCGACTCGACTTTATTATAGATTCATTCTGTAAACATTAAACGCTTAGCCCGTGCAAGATTCCACCAAATGGTCCCTTGTGATACAGAAAGAACCGCGGCATGTTAGCCTGATGCATTAAGCGAATAGGAACTTGGATAATGCAGGGCTTCATTGTCTAACCTGAGTGCCCACCTCTGCTCACAC